CATTTAATTTAGCGAACTTCTGTAACTGTATTTTACAAATAAACTATTTGGAATTAACGTATGTAGTTCGTGATGTGAAAGTTTTATTAATTCTTCATTTAGATTCTTTTTTTATTAATTCAAAATCAGATTTGTAAACTAAAACAGCAATTTACAGAAGTATTTTAAATGAACTGCAAAATTTGATGTGAAAACACAAATTCTCACTCGAATAGATAGCCTAGAGTAAGGTGGAGTGCAACAAGCGCACCTTAATTTAAGCCTCTTTCTGTTTATATTTTAAATTTTTAAATTTAGTTCTAAAAATTAAAAAAATTTCATTATTTTATTTTATTATGTTTATATTTATTTATTTCATGTTTTTTGCAAGTTTTTTTTTTTTTTTTTAAATTTTCACTTTTTTTTTTCATTTATTTTTTTTTTTGTTTCTTTATTTCAATTTACAATTCATTAATTCTGTAATACTTATAATGTATATATATATATATATATATTTATGTTAATAAATTTATACGTAATCAGACCACATATAAAACGTGTAAAATTTTTTTTTTCTTTTTTTCTCTTTTTTAATTTATCAAAGCAACGATTTACTTAAAAATTAAATTATAATTTATATTTTTTTTTTAATTTTATTTTAATTTAATTATTTTTAAATTTTCTCCTAGTTTTTATTTACTTTTTTTTTTGTATGTTTTTCGTTTCTGCTTCTTTATTTATTTATTTATTTCTTTTTTTTGTTTAATAATATTATTACATGATATTTAAATTTAAATTAAAATTAAAACTAAAATTGAAAGTCCACATAATTTATTAGAATTAGTTAAGAGGGGCTAAAATTGGAAAAAAAAATCAATGTATATGAGTAAATTTCATAATAATTTTTTTAATTTTAATGAATGAATTGCATTTTGTTTTTTCTTATATTTTCTATTTAAATTACCATTACAATTAAAGTAAATAATGACGATCTTTATTCGGTTTTCATTTATAAATTTTTTATAAAATTCTAGATATAAAAATTTCTAAGAGGAAGCAAATATTATATGAATGAAGCTCATAGAGATTTCAATAGCAAATTTTGTAACTACTTAGTTTTTATTATATAAGCATTTTGTTTTTTAATTTGATTATTTTTTATTATAAATATTTTTAAATAGAAAAACAAAAATGGAGAAAATTTTTTATTATTGAATTTTTACATCATTTACTTTATTTGTATTGTGTGTGTGTGTGTGTGTATTAATATAAAGCTTTTATTAAATATTTCCAATTAAAAAACATTTTTTTTTTTGTTCACATTTATTACTCTTAATTTTATTATTTATTTTTAATTTATAAATTTTTTTTTTTAAGAAAATTCTTTTTGTATTTGAAAACGTTTTGGTATTTGAAGGCGCATTTAAATATTTTTAATTTTTTTTTTTGTAAATTATTTAAAATTTTTTATTTTTTAATTTTTAATTTTTTTGGTTCGAGAAGTTTTTTGTATGTAAAAAAATATTTTTTATTTATTTTTTTATTATTTTCATTTGTTTTTTTTTTTTTAATTTTCCTTGTATTGTAAACTTTTGTATGGTGTAAAAAATTTTTTGTATATTTTTTGAAAATTCCAAAAAAAATCAGTCTCCAAATTTTTTATCTAAATATGAAAATTAGAAAAAAATTTTGTTTTTGTTGGAATTAATTTTCTTTAGTGATTTTAATATAAAACTATTTTTGTAAAAACTAATTACGTTGTTTTTAAGTTTCCTGTTTTAAATAAAATAAAAATTTTCAGATCTATCATGAATTCCACTAGTAGAAACGTACGAATTACGAAAATAACTACGACTGTGAACAGTATAATTTTTCGGAATGTCAAAATCAATATTTTATTTTCAATATCAAATTTTTATTTATATTTTTTCGGGTGCTATTTCAGTAAACAACTTTCATACAAAAAAAATATTTTATTATTTTAATTTTAAATATTTAGGAAAAAAAAATTTGACAATATGAAATTATTTCCTTGCATGGTAGCTGTGTTAGAGTATATCAAATTCCAACAAAAACCATTCAAAATTTAATAATTTAATATGATTATTCTCTCTTTAAATTAATTGTTACGGAATAATTATCTCTTTTGTAGACTTTTGAGAGTAATTTTTACTACGAACATAATTTATGATTGCACCATTACGAATATTCGAATCAGAATTTTAATATTTTAATTTTTAATTGATAACAAAATATTCATAATTTTCTGAACAAAATTCAGAGCTACAAAAAAAAAATTCATGATAGGGCTATGATGTAATACGGTTCGAATTGATTACAAAAATTTAATTTAAAGGAAAAATGATCATGCAAATTATTTTACTTACATAAATTGGTAACTATAAAAATCTTAAAAACTAAAAAAAAAAAATAATTTTTATTTAAATTGAATATCAAAAAAAAAATTCATAGTTTTCTTATTCATTTAGAAAATTTAATTAAATTAAAAAAATTATATTAATTCAATAATATTTAAAAAAAAACAAAAAATTTGGTAAAATCTTAAACGTCAAATTTTACAAAATCTGAGTTGTCTGAGTTTACGGATACTCTACTACGTTTTTACTCTCAGTCAAAGTTTAAAATCTTAAACGTTTAAAAAAAGTCAATTAAGCGTCAAAATTGTAGATTTTTTTTTTTACATGCAGACAGTCTGACGTAGTAATTCAGTAAATAAATTTGATGTGTTGAGCGACTATCATTACGTTAAAAATAATATAAAAAATATTTTTATTGTTAATTTTTAATATGTAAGTATAAAATTATTTTAAATCTAAAAAAAATTTTTTTTTTGTTTTGACGTTTACGGATGATCAAAATTCAAAGTCAATTACGGGTAAAAAGTTTACTACATTTCTGTCCGTAAAAGTTTTATACGTCAGACAGTTTGCAGACTAAAATCAAAATTTTGACGTTAAAGAATTTGCGGTCATATTGTGATTAATAAATTAAAAAATTATTTGTTTTTTACTTTAAAAAAAAAATTATGATTATTAAATTTTTTATAATATTTTTTCAATGTAAATTTTTAAATGCGCTAAAATTAAAAATGTTTATTAGAAAAAAAAATTTCTCTTATTACTTAATCATTTATATTTGCATATTGTTGAACTATATTTGAGTTATTTTAATATAAAATTATTAAAAAATTATTAAGATAAAAAGATAAAATAAATATGAAATTAAAATAAAAATTAATTTCATATTTGTTTCAACAAAATATTAGGGCGGATATTATGAATACTTTCAAGTAATTAATTAATATATTTTGACTTTCAATTTAAATTTAATTTTGTTTCTTAACTTATTTCCATATTTTATAATAATAAAGTTTTTTTTTTTTGTTTATTTTACTTTTCCTTTTAATAATAATTAATTAAAAATAACTTATTTTTACAAGAGAACTTAAAAAATTTCAAATTTACTTATCAATATCTGAATATCATTAAAATATATTATTATAAATCTACTTTTACATATACATTTTTATTTTTTGTTTTATTTATTTTTTTCGAAATAATTTCAAAAACAAAACATATAAAATAATTTAATGAAATATAAGGAAAATAAAAACAAAAATATTATGTTTATTTTATTATTAAAATATTTTATAGTATATAATAATAATAATAATTGAAGATGCACATTAATTAATGTTTACATTATTTGTAATATATATATATATATATATATATAAAAAAAAAATTATTTTTATTTGTAAATTTTCACTTAAAAACTAAATTATAAAACATAATATAAATACATTTAATAACTAAAATATATATATAAGTATGTATAGGTTTTTTATAAACTTGTTCTTTTTAATTTTTAATTTTTATATTTATTCTTATTTTAGAAATGCATTAAATTTTTATTTATTTATTTTTTTTTTCCCCCTGATATAAGATCGGGAATATAGTTAAATTAATTATTCAATTTTCTACAGAAAATTTTAATATGTTAAACTTTTAAAATTTTAATAAATATATAAAATTTAATAACATAATTAATTTATGATTATAGAAAATTAAAACCTCTTGATTTTCATTTTAATTTTAAATATTTTTATCCATTATTATTTTACTCATAAAATCGTGGTATAAAAAAGCAAATTCGAAATCTATTCAATTTCGAAAAATCAATTAATTTTCACTTAAAAACTTTTAATTCTTAATAAAAAAAATTGAAATTCTTAATTTAACTATATTGCGGATCTTATAAATGTACTTACAAAAAACAAAATAAATATATGTATTTTTTTTATTTAATATTATTTTTGAGAGGTTTCAAAATTACATTGAGTTTAATTTATTATGTATGTGTATATGTGTTTAATTTAATTATTTAATTTATGTATATATATATATATATATATGAAAAATTATTTATGATCGGTATTGTGTATAATTTCTTTTTGCATTACATATTTTAAAATTTTGAATAATGTTTTATTTTAAGGCTGTTTTATATAATTAAAATGGAGCTGAAAATTAATTTTCGATATGAATTGGTTGTTTTATTTTTTATATTTTAATTTTTGTTTTAAATATTTTTTTTTTTTTTAAATTAATTTATAATATTTTTTTTCTTTTATTTTCGTCAATATTTTCAAATTAATCACTAAATTTTAATACTTTTTACAAAATATAAGATAAGAAGTATAAAAGCGATGAAGAAAAAAAAAAAAAACAAATAAATTTTTATTTTATTTAATTAGGAAAAAACGAAATTCAAAATAAAGTCGTTTATACTTTTAATATAATAAAAAATATTGAAAATTTATAAAAAATAAAATTTAATTTTAAATTTATGATATTAATAGTATAATATACTTTCATAACATTTAAAAGAATGGAAATATAAATAAATATTTTTCAATATAATATGAAAATCATATTCTATGTACGTATGTATTAAAATATGAGACTTAATCTCATTTCTAATTAATTGTTTTATATATATTTAAAAAAAAAAAAAAAACACATAATTTTAATATTTATTTTTTTTTTTTTTGTTTAAACCTAATCCATTCGAGCATATCGTGGTACAATATCCTTTTGTATCCAATAATTACAATGTGAATATTCAGATGATGTTGTTAATTCTTGACCAATTTTAATTATTTTATTTGCTTGATGTGTATCTAATGTTCCATGTTGTATATATTTATAAAACATATTACGTATTGTTTCACTATAACGTTTCTCTTCTGGTGTTTTAATATTTTCATTTTGAACATCTTCTGTACTTCCTAAAATAGCTTCAATATCTGCATTTACATTTGCTAAACCAATTTCATTATTTGGTTGATGAACAACATAAAAAGGTACAAATGGTTGTTGTTTTACAGCAATTGTATATAATGGGCATATCGTTCTAATATCAGATACCATCGATATTAATCCTTTATAGGTGGCATTATAACTATTTAATACTTCATCTGTTAAATTTAAGAAACCAAATTTACTTTGTTCAACATGTCTACGAACTTCATCTTCAGTCCAATTTGTATATTTATTATAAAGAAATTTATTATGGCTAGTGTGTGCTGTTGTTCCAAGTACTAATTTTGGTTTTTTAGGGTCTTGACCTTGTTCTGATGGTTCTTTCCAAACATCTTCTGGATTTTTTTGCAAAATGATTCCATCTAATACAAGCCTAAAATTAATTAATAAAAATTATTTAGAATATTAAAAATAATTTGTAAATAAAAATAATTCATAAGTATTATAAAACAATTTATTACCATTCATGAATTTCCGTGTTATCTTCATCATTATTTGGTAAATCGGCTGGGTGTTGTCTCCAGATGTCAGGCGTAGCATCTAATATTTGTTCCACAGAGGCATCTCTTAAGCAATCAACGTCTTGACATTCTATTTGACTCATGTATTGTTCATTTTTTCGCTCCGCTTCCTTTAATGAAATTCCAGGGAATCTTGATCCACCAGATGAAACCCAAGCTCTAGAAAATAGATTTTTTGCTTCACGTGATGTTACCAAAGCTGTAACTAAAGTCCCTCCAGCTTGATGTCCGAGAAGAGTTACTTGATTCTTATCACCACCAAAATGGTGAATATTTAATTGTATCCATTTTAAAGCAGCAATTATGTCCGAAAGACCATAATTACCAGAAGTTTGAGGATAAGTGTCTTTCGTTAAAACATTTAAAGCTAAAAAGCCAAGTGGTCCAACTCGAAAATTTGGTCGTACAAAAATAACATCTTCCTTTTTAGCTACTTGTGGAGTCAGTTTCAATTCAGTTGGAGTACCACCCATTAATGATTCGACTCCTATTAATACAACAATCGGAACTGGGTTATCGTATCTTACATGTGGTGTAACAATTTCTAATGTTAAACAGTCCTCTTCACCAATTTTTGTTCCATTATTTAAGACTTGTGCACATATATCTGTTTCATTATGTGCCTTTAAAGTTCCATTCCAGCAATTTTTAACATCTGTGATTAATTGTGCTGATTTGAATCTCAATTCACCAACCGGAGGAAGAGCATATGGTATACCACGGAATATATATGTATTATCTTCTATTAATCCTTCAACCATACCACAACTTGTACTAGCATCTATAAATTTACCTTCACGAATTGGTGCTTGAGTTATTTTTTCATAAGACAGAACAACACCAATAACAATTAACAATATTATAAATAGAAGGGCACCTATAGCTATTAAAATATCATCAATTGAACATTTATATGCTCTTATTCTATCTATAAGTGGTACATGTTCACATACTTCATCTTCATTAGCTTTCTAAAATCCGATAAATATAAAAATATGTATGTAAATCAATATATAAAAATTGCTTAACCATAATTTTAATATACGGCGAATATAATAGTCAATACAATGCTATCTTACATCATCATTTTGTTTAATTTCCTGGCTTCCTTTTAATTTATCAACACCGTCATCATTTGAAATCGGTACTTTGTCAACAGTATCAGCGTCCTTTAATGAATCATCTAAGGTCTCCATTGATGCTAATCCAGCCTTCGTACCTGGTCCTGTTCCCATTTCAACATCATCTTCAGTCTTTTTTTTTGGAATCATGTTCGCAATTGGAAGCTTAATAGCATTTAAAAGTCCCTTTTTTGGTGCTTGTTGTGTATCATCAGTTTTTGCTTCAGTATTTGGCGCTAAAAAAATTATATTTTTTTTCAACTATACTCGTAATTCAAAATCATTTTTAATACTTACAAGTTGCTTTTTCAACATCATCGTTTTTCGGTTTTTTAGAAAAGAAATTACGAATTCTATCGCCAAATGTTGGTTTCTTTTCTTCAACTTTTGGTTTCTCTTCGTTTTCTTTATTATCATCAGTTTCCTTATCTTTCTCTAATAATTCACCATCGGCACCATCGCCTTCGCCGCGTGGTTTGATTTTTGTGAAAAATCCAGGCATTTTTATGCCACCAATTGGAATTTTTTTTGGTTTAACCTCGCGATCTTCCTTAGACAATTTTGAAACTTTTTTACTATCATTGAGATCATCTCCACCGCCTCCGTCATCTCCTCCACCATCACGACCACCTTCTGTACCCTTAGTTTCAATTTCAGGGATATTAATAATTTCCTCTCCATTAACGATTCCTTTAGTTTTGTTTTCTGGCGTTGAAGATTTTATTAATGATGGGGCAGTTTTATTATCATTGGCAGATTGTAAATTATCACTAGATTTCTTCTTTTTGTCGTCATCTGATTTCATATCTAACATTTTGTCAGTTTCCTTAGGTTCTTCTGATTCATGATGTGATTCAGTAGTTGTTTGATTTTCAGATGGAGGTGGAGTTTCTTTATCATCTAATTCACCCATAATTTGTCGTTTTTAAAATCCTTTTAATGCAAAATCGTAATGAATTATCTGTAAAATAGGAAAAATACAAATTATATTTTTTTATTAACAGTGAACGTATCTTTAAATGGTATAAAACTAATTAATCATGACAAATATGATACGAGTATTGCTGCTTCAAATCACAGCTTTGGGTAGGTAATTAGGTATTAAAATTCCTTTACTAGGTACCCATTAACTACGTCCTAAAAATTGTAACCAAATTGAAACTACCCAAATATATAGATGTATGTACTTACCTATGTATGTACATATGCATAAGAATTCTTTTGATCGAAGCAGTAAAATGTATTAACTTGCTTCCTTATTATGAACACTGATTCTGTCATGGGTCAATGGAATTTGATTTGCGCAACTTTTAAATTTTAAATAACAGTTTTTTTTTCTAATTTGACAAATTTTTTGCCCAATTAAAAAAAAAAAATTCATAATTGTTAAGGTTTGATTAGCAAATAAAATATTACGTTGCATCTATTTTATTCAAGAATTGTCTCTGTTTCGAATTTTTTAAATTTATTTTTTTTTTTATTTTAAATATTAAAACTAAAAATATGGTTTTAATTTATTTACATACCCTAAGTAAAATAAAATAAAAATTGTTTTTTAATTAAACCACTTAAAACTAATAAATTCTTATAATTTGGCATAAAATCTTATTTTATCAAAGAAACACGAATCCAAATGTTGAACAAAAACAAGTGCGGAACAGCAAAACCAATTGTTCAGTATTTGGCATATAATGTCACACAAGCAACGAAACAAATAATGTCAAAAATAAAACGGCAGCGGTAAAATATAGTTTGTACATCGTTTGCGGTTAAATTCGCGGCGTTAATTTTGTATGATTCTTGGCGAAAATATTTTTCAGAAAATCAAATATTTTATGAAAAACTGCCAATTTGGAAGAGAAAAAAGGATTCAGAATCCCGAATAAGCTTTATTTAAGCTACATTTATTGTTTCAAAACATGTCAAAATAAATTCAAAATTTATGGCTTGTATTAAGAATATTTAGAAATATTAATAAGGCAGGAATGACTATGTTATAAATTATTTCTTATTTAACTCTAATTCTAATATGCAAAAAAATGCGCTTAAAAACTATTAATAAAAATATTTTATTCTGTCACGTAATTTTGCCAATATGTCGTACAATTCTTTAATGTCATGTTATATCACGTCCTCTTACGTCTCATGAAGTTACATCTCATCACACCGCATTACGTCATATCATACCATGTTACGTTAGTTATTTAAACTAATAATTACAAAAAAAATGTAGAATGCCCAAAAAAAAAAATCCTAACTTTCGAGTAGAAATCGATTCTTTCATTCACAATGTAAACGTTAGTGACATCTCTGTTTTAACGCCTAGTAGTATTTTAGTTGAGTCATTCAGTCAGTGAAGAAACCGCTAAGGTATTAAATATTGCGGAATAAATTTTTTTCAAAGTTTTTGCTGTATTCGTTTTAGGAAGCCGTTTAATTAAGTTTTATAAAAATAAAATTTAATTAGTAAAATAGATCGGACTAAAGAATATGAAAAATTAGATACATATTAGGAAAGCGGAAACAATGTTAATATGCACCTAAAGAATGAGTTTTCTATGCCCATCGCAGATTTTCAAGAACTGGAAGCATTTTAGCAACAGCTCTGGATCAGGCCTAGATTATGGTCAGGTACGATTATATTTAACTGTACATACATATGCGTATTATGGGAATCTTATATTAAATTATGCTAGGTATACGACATGTTTGTGTGTATGTAAGTACATATGCATATGGACATATGAATGTAGGTACATACATACATAATGTACATACATATATACATATCTATAATAGCTGCTTTTTGAATGAATATTCTAATATGAACCTACAAGATTTCTTACCAACTAAATTTAATAATTCCATACAATTTTAAACATTTTGCAATCAAATTGAGTTGAAACTCAATTGAGTTGTATGATGAAATTTAAAAAATTACATTTTAATATTTATGTAAAATATTGTAAATCTATTAACCTATGTAGTAAGTAGTTAATTACATACTTTGTTTCTAGTTTTTTCTAGGCAGGTATTTTTTTAGTTCCAAATTTTTGAAATCAACGGTAACACCTGTTTGTGTAATTTCCTAAATTCCGTTATAAAAAGCTTCAATTTTGAAGGAACGTACTGTAAATTATAATTATAATTACAAATGTACACTTACCTACCTACATATTTCATATAAATTTTTCAAATTAAGAATAATTCACCAACATCTGATTTAAATAAATCAGATTAATCAGCAAAATGCACCATAAACCTCTTCAAGTGCATGCTCTGGATTACAAATAGGTATGTACATAATGTATATATAAATCATTGAAATCAAACTGATTATATAAATTGGGGAGAATTTCCTCTTTTAAATTTTCGAATGTAAATTTTTAAATTAAATGCATGATTTTCTTTTTATGTTCGACCTACCACTGGATGTTACACCACTTATCAATCACAAAATAAAATGAAATAAAATTAAGTACATAAAAATGAATGTAAAATTAAGTACATATGATTTTTCTGAAAAATTCAAAGCATTCGGTTTCACAAATAATGTTTTCCCTCCGAAATAGAGAAGTAAAACAAAATTTAAAATATTCTTTTTCTTCAAATTAAAAACAATTCGTTTTTATTTTTTGCTTGCGAAACTTTTTCAACCATGAACTTGTACTAAATATTTACATACATATGCATTTCTATGTGCAGTATAGCAAGTAGATGTTTGTACAATTGTAAAACAACGTACGGATTTTAAATTGTAAATTCATAATACTGCAGTAGAATTACCGTAAAAGTGAAATTTTTGTTTTATATTTTGAAAAGTTCTTAGAAGTTACAAAAAAAAAAAAAAAGTAAAACAAAATCGCAGCTGCTGTTAATATCAAAAATGCAGTAAGAAGTTTATTATACAGCATAAGTGATGATCATAAGGCGTCATAATCACATGAAAACATACATAAATATTAGTATAAATATGCATACATATAGCCATATTTACATAGTGAGTCATAATAAATAAATCTTATCACACGGAATACCAAAAATATGAATGTATACGTACGTATATGTGTGTATATACTATATAGTATGTGTACATAGGTATATAAAAACAATATTAAATCAAAATGTAATCCTTTTGATGCAGATTTCATTTGTGTTTTCTATAACAAAGAGTAAGAGTATATAGTTGACTGTGGCAATGGAAATGAGAATGACAATGTGTTTTCCCAGGTTCTTTTCTTTTTATTTCATATTTATTTTATAGTTGTTTATAATTTATTTCATCCTCATGTTTATAAAATAAAAAATTTTACAATTTCATTGTGTACTACATGCACATAACATAGAAAGCATACAATTACACTAACTTAAATATGAATTTTTTATAAGAAAATTTCTAACAAGAATCAAAATTTAAGAGTAAAAAGGATTCATAAGTAGTCTTATACCTATATGAAATAAGTTAACAATATCATAGTTAACGGGACAGATGATAAATTGTTATGTGCGAATGTTATGTTATAAGTTGCACTACTGATATGCATCTGGTATGATCCAGTTCTTAAAGTACAAGTGTGTGAAAGGGTATAAGAACTTAGAGTTTCTTTGAGCATGCCTGGTGTCTTCCATAGAGAGCAGAAATACCGTCACGCAATTGTATTCTCTCGTTTAACTTAAGTAAGTTTCCTTCAGTGATCGGGAATGGATAAAAATAGACTGGGGCTTTTAAATATTTTTTTATTAGACAGCTATTTATTCGGTAAAGTAACATTTGCATAAACTGAGCCAATCTTATACCTTCCTCTGCGAAATAGAAAGTTTACTGTAGTGCACATTCTCTGCGATTGTGTTCGATAGAGTTATAGGGAATTTAATAGCAATTTCTTTAATGCACAATAGCATAATATACGATTATACGTACATTATAATAGCAAAGAAAGCATTCTGTGAACTATAAATAACTTCAATTAAAATGATGATATTGCGGAAATCATCATTTCAATTCATAATTTCCTCTTTTTCTGCAATACACAATGATTAATAGGTTATAGATTCTGATGAAAGTTGTGTAGATATATTTTATGTTATTTTTTAGTTTAACTCTTTATAAAAATGTGAAACTAATCGTTTGAACTTCATTCAAGAAGTTTTTATAATGTTTTCAATTTTTCATTTATAAACAGTGTATAATTAAATGCAAAATATTTAATTAATGCCTCAAGTAATGCTATTATTTTTTAAATTTATAGGTAAATAAAAATTTGTTTTCAGTTTGAAAATTAATAATTTCCAATATTAAAATGTCAGGTTTACACAATATTATCCCAACTTTAATGGTTCAAAACAAAATTGTTGTAAAATAAAAACAATTCCTCTTAAAAATCATTTCCTTTCTTTCTTGAAAATAAAGAAAAAGCATAAAAACAATCAAAGGTTTTTAAAAATTAACGATCGGTGTCGGAAACGAAATTAATTTATTTTTCTAATATATTATACAATTTCTGACTATCATAGGTATATACTTAGAATTTTTAAATTTTAAAATACAAATTGTGAGAATTTGCCATAACAATTAGAAAAGTGAAATTTACATTACTATTGTATAGTTGTCAAGTTTGTATGAATGTACATTATTTCTAGCATTTGGCATACGAATATAATTAACTAACATAACCTATTCATGTTAGATTACAAAAATAATTACAATAGAATATAGTAGTTACAATATCCGTTTTCATTGAATTAAATTGCCATCGCGCAAAAAAAAAAACTTATTTTTAACGCCATACAATTTTTAAATGTGAAAATAAAACATCGATTAATTTATAAATAGTCACTGTTATTGCACAATGGTTTATCTACCGCAAAATGTACTTATACATGTAAATAAAATTGTAAGTAGGTTATAACAATATTATAAATTGAAATATAAAATAGAAAATTTTATATTATTGAAATGTGTTAGAATTGTAGAATGTGAAAGGGACGTGAACTGAGAGAAACGGTAGTACAACAGGCTTAAAAACCAAGTGTACTGTTTGGGGGGTCACAACAACTGAACCTAACCTTAAACCGATTTATGTTTCTATCATAAGTTTTTTAGTGTCTCTGGTATAATACATCTTACATATATGTACTTGCAACTCTTGTATTCAAAGACTTGGGTAACTATATTTATAAACAGAAATACTCATATGCAAATGCAACTTGTCAATTATTAAAAATCTTTAGTTGACAAATCGAATACCTCTTCAAATAATTCCAGAATAATAAAAAGAAAAATAACAAATTATAAAAGAAATAAATTAAACCTTCTTCCGAAATTAATTTGACCTTAATGAGTTATTCGTGATTTTTTCTTATTTATTTTTTTTTCTCATAACCAAAATGTTTTCATTGTTTTTTATTTTAAAATTTTAATTTTCAGATTTCAATTTTTATTCTTCAAAACTAAATTAATATATACAACAAGTACGCCTCTAAGTATAATAGGTTTTAGGCCGCCGATTAATTTTTGGGAACATGGAAATTTTGTTTTTGTTAGAAGAAAACGCCAAAAATGAAAACAAAATTCAGAAATAAAAACAAAGCCACTACATATTATTAAGGAAGTTACCAACCAACGATCCATTTGAAAGATTCGATCAACATGAACTTTGGAAAATCTCAACTTGTTTAGAAGAGAAATATAAAAAATAAATTAAAAACGTGAAATTTGGAAAAAGAAGAAAATTATGTAATCATGAAGAAACTACAAGAAAATCAAAAGAAGTAATGAAAATAGTAAAAAAAAAAATAATAATTATGGAAGACAAGTTGAATTACAAAATCTCATCAACACACTATTGACTAGGCACTATTTTCTTTTCACAATTATTGTATATGGAAGAGAAAACCGACAAATAATTTAGAAAGGAACATCGATTTACTGAAATTTCATTACGTTATGGATACCATATAGATTTGGTTGGAGATTATGTAAGTTGTATGTAAATATGTTTCTTAAATAATCACATATCTATAGGTATATACAATATATATTTGAATTTACCTGCCATACAGAGTGAGCACACGCAAATGATTTAAATATTTCAACTGAAGAACAGTTTTAAATAAATGATTAAATTTTTTTAATATGTACAAAGACCTGCTACTAGATTTTCGTTTCGGAAAGAAAGTATTGCTGTTGATATATGGGCTAAAAATTTCAAACATTAAAATCTTTCACTGTACAAAATATTTTGGGAATTTCAAATTAATGGATAGTGGCACATATAAATTAAAATATTAGCAAATAATAAAAAGAAGACCTTTCCTGATCTTGAAATGCTATAACTTTGCAGATGCAAACTGCGCCAATTTTAATTTTTGGTAGGCATTTATTTAGTTTTTTCTTCTCTTGTCATAATACTTATAGTTATTCGGGAACTGGTTAGGCACATGTTGTAGTTTCTGGAAAAACTGTGTTTGTTAAAGTACTTTATAAAATATATACTAAAAATAAATCATTACAAAAGAAAATATTCGAGAAACGGTGAATTAAGTGGAGTAAATAGAATAACGACGGTTACATTGTATAAAATATTTTTAGTAAAATTAAAAAAAAAAACTTATACATTTTACTACATAAAAAATTTACGCATATGTAAAATTTTCCAAATTCTTTTATATTATGTATAACATTTTTTTTTTTTTGTTTTGTAATACTTTAGTTTCATACGCGTATTAATTAGCCATTGAATAACTAAACTAAATTGCGTAGAAATTTTACTATAATTTTCCGTATCTGCGTTTAAGGTATATTCCATGGAAGCAAGAGGCGTTTTATAAATAGTTTTTTGAACTTTCATATTTTCTTTTCTCATTTTAGATATTTGGAAAAATTATTTTTTTTTTACCAAAAGAAATAATTAGATAATACGTAAAACACAGCTGGACGCATACATGTAAGCTAAATTGATGTTTTGTAATGAACTTCGAAAGAATAAAAATCAGTTATTGTTTGAGTTTCCCATTTATTTTGAAAAATACTCTGTTACCTTAATTAAATTTGACATTGTTGTAAATTGTAAATATTTACTATTAATTGCTAAAATAACGCTAATTCAGAGAAATTTAAATTTGTAATTATTCATTTCTTACTTGCACTATAAATTTACAAATAAATTTTTCATGGAGCTATTTTTAAACGTTACAGTTGAATCAAATCCTGATTTTAATTTTACGATTTTTGCAATTGTTATGAGAATTTTAATGTAACTAATGTTATATAATAGAAAGTTTTATTAAATTCAAACTTTCCTTTGAATTTTTAAAAACATTTTTCAATTTGATTTAATAACCTGTACCGCTCTTTATTCTTATAAGAGCATTCAAATGCGTTTATGCAGCATTCAAATTTTTTATGTTAATAATTATTATAAATTTTAATGTTTGTATTGAATCTTTTACGGAATTAGAAAAAAATTTTTTTTGGGTGTAATTATGTTGAATTTCAAACAACTTATAACTCTTTGTTTTACAACAACAGAAACGTTCTAAAATATACTGAATTTATTATTATATAAATAAATTATGTATGGTGTTCATTTCAAAACTTTTATTTATTAAATATTCAGGAGCTAAGAAGGGAAAAATCTCCATGAGAAAGTTATAAATTTAAATCCTTTATTTTTTACAATCTCACTTCATAAAAAAAACAAAGCAAGATAAAATCTAAAAAAAATTCATCACCCTTCTTAAACTTTAAGCATTTTGAATTTTCTATTTTAATCTGAAAATTAAAATTTCTAAAAGGATGTACGTATGTAAATTGTAAAAATATTATTATATAGGGTGGGAAGAAGTCCATAATTGAAATCTAATTTACAAAAATAAGATATAAAAATCTTAAATAAAAACTGCATAAATTCACAATCTTATAGTAAGTGTCCCGCCATAAAAAATTTTTTTGTTTTAGACCATGTGCCAAATTCATTGCATTTTAAAGAAATTCTCTATAATCTATTGTGTTATAATTACACAAAACAATTGAAATTTTTCGTATTGTAAATTCAAAAAATCATTAAGCAAAAATGAATTTAACATAATAAACCAAGAAAAATAAAGTTAAGGAAATGTATAATAATTATTGATTTTCTAAAGGGACAGACGATAATTAAAATATTCATATAAAATATGCAATAATTTTGCAAAAAGGGTTATGTTAAAGTCTCTTGCAATTATATTCATTAAAAATGTTCGTAATTGTTATAACAAAAGGTAGCTGAATGGTATATGTACATGGTAAATCGGTTCGTCAATAATTTTCTAATGAATATATTAGAATGAAATGATTTCATATCAATTAATTAGTATCAGAAATAAATTAATTAGTATCAGATCAATCAATTTATCACAATAACTACCGGCATATACTAGTATAGGTGAAAGTCTAAGAGGGAAAGGGTTTAAATAGGAAACGGGGAATAAAATAAAAGTATAATCATTAAGTAAGTAGAACGGTATTCGGAACCAATTAGCAAATGTCAAGAATCACAATATTATTTGGCGCTAGCATCTTTAATTCTAGTTGCTAGTGCAAGTTATTGCGCATTGCAAACTATAATATGCAATTATTATAGTTTGAAATTATTGAATATTTTAAAAATAAGTGCTTTAATTGCATATGACTGCCATTTGCAGACTAGACTGATTAAGGTGAATGACATAATCGTTATATTCATGATGTTTTGGAAAGTATCTGTTTACTACGTTAGCATAAATGTAAGATTCTACTGTATTAAAACTTTTTGGTTAATTTTCATTTTTTATTACCCTCTTATAATAGCTCTTATATATAAAAAAAAAGGGTATTTTATTGACATGTGAGTGGTATACTTTTCCATAATTCTTTGTAAAGAATTTGTATATATGTAAATACAAAGGTATATAAAAAAGGTATATCTGTATACTCTTATATGAGTATATTGAATTTTTTGCAAATGCAGCCACAAAACATTATTTAAAAAGAAAAATTTTCATATTATATTATACATACTCGTAACTATTGTTTTGTAGCCAGCACACTATTGTTCTGTATCGATTTTACATGCGTAATTTAATACTCTAAAATCGTTAATATAGGGATTATGTCAGATAATAAAAAAGTAAGAGAAATGTAAGGTACGTATGTACATATATATGAGATACTGGATTGCATATAATATATATTTAAATTAACACTGCTTATGTTGCTTTGAAATTAGAAAATATGCAGCGTTTCAAAATTGAAATGAATGTATTTATGTTTGTCATTTATGCGGCTATATACAGAATATTCATATGCTTACATTTTGAAAGCATAACCGTATTCATTTGTAGTATTCAGTGCTAGAAAAAATAAATGAGATTTTATTTGTCCTATCAAAAAATGAAATATTGATTAGAATGAAAACCAACTAACCAACTTTATATTGTACAATGCAATATTGAGTAGAACACTAGAATAGAAGAATGAAAGTTCGTATAAAATCAGATTGTTATTTTATGTTTTTGACTTGTATAAAATTCTATAGAAAACTGATACTTACATACACATGTGTATGTGTCTGTGTTTGCTATGCATATTTTTCCTTTCATTATGCAATATTCAGATTTTATAAAACACATTTCTATTTTTTTTCTGGCGGCCCCTATAATTTCAAATGCAGTTAGTTAACGAATATAACAATAGAAAAATGAAATGAACAACAGATTTTTTTTTTTTACTATTGCACCATTTTACAATTGCTGCAATTAAATCAAAATTTCAATTTGTATTTCATTTTTCAGTTCTTCCTATCTAAAATAATTTTAACACCCTTGTACTTATATTTTAATTTTAGGCAAATTATGAAATGCATCTGAAAATTTGGAAACTTAAACGAGGAAAATATACAACTCATATCAGAATAATAATGAAAACTTACCTTGTGAAATATGTACTATGCAGTTTAATCGATGAGTTTTTGTGCCAAATTTAATAAATCAATCTGCAAATAGAAGTTAGAAATACTAATTAATATTTTATAAACACTATCGGATTATAACAGAAAGTTAGAATTTTGCAAAAAAACCAAAATCAAATTCTTCTGATTGCTGAAGGTTCTGGTGTTAAAATGAAATTGAGATTATTAAAAATTATAAATTTGGAGTTGTTAATCATGGTATTCTTTACATAATGGGGTTTGATGATAAATTTTTTTAAGGACGTTAATTAATTGTTTTTTCTGTTTTTGTAAACTTTTATTTTCAACTTATTATTTTATAAAAGTATGATAACAACGACATTCAGGAATTGGAAATTGAAATTTTTTCCCTCATTATGATTAATTGAATATTACAGAGATTTTTTCCCATATACACGTACAGTATTATTCAAAATTATAACAATAGAAAATTCACTTCAATTACATGGTCTGCATGTTGTATCTTTACATATGTATGTATAAATTGAAATTTCAATTTTAATAATAAAAAATTCCATTTTTTTTTTTATAATGATATAAAATTCTGCAGTATTAATTGTAAATAAAAGAATTTCATCTAAATACCCATTACAAATTGAAAAGTTATGATGGCACATTATGAAATTTATCGTCGAAAATTTGAAAAAAAATCAATTCCAAAATGGAAAATGACATTTTTTATAAAAAGAAAATTAATTTCTGATTTTTTCAAACATTAATCAAATTTAAAAAAATACTTTGTTGAAATTATTTAAATAATAATAAATTTTTTTTTTGTACATTCTATTTTAGTTCAGCACCCATGAGCTCATAAAATGGCATGCTATTACAGTAACCGTTAAGGAAGTGAAATCGATAAGCTCTATAATAAAGGAAGTGAAATGAGCGAAGGTAATGCAACTAAATTATTATAAGATATAATAACCATTTATTCTAACAGAATATTCTAAGTTGTTGACGTATATTCAGTATATACTAATAAAGTATAATATTTTTAGATATGTAACTGGTAAATCATAATATATTTGCTTTTGAACTGAAGCTCTCACTTTCATATTAGAAAATAGTTTTAGGAAATTTAAAGTTTAACTTCAATATATTAGATCTTAAATAAAAGATATTGGCAATGAGTGTTTTCCTCAAGAAAGCAAACTGCGGGAAAAGTCTAACGTACGGAAATATTTCTGTAAATATAGTTTGTAGTGCAGAGATAAATACTTAAATTTATAAGAGATAAATACTTATTAAGTCGAGAGTTTAAATAAAAGTAGAATAAATTGCTGGAATGTGTAATTTTGCCATATATGATTCCCGGTAAAATATTGGTATTTAATTGAAGAAAGAAATTTTTTATTAGGCTCTTAGAAGAAAAATTGGGATTCTAATATCATACAAATTCTTTTGTCATATTTTAATAAGAATGTTATTGTAGATTTCCGTTGCTGAGGATTAGAGGCAAATCAATTAACTCCTTTCTAAATAGTGCAAGTGAAAAAATTGACTTACAGTTTACAAGTAGCACCAGTAGGTATTTGAAAAGTGCAATAATTTTAATTTTTTTACCCCCATTGCCGCAGTAATATTTGTTTTTATTAGCCCGCGTAATATTTAGTTCAAAACTTAGTGCGTCTCTGTTATAAAATACTATTAAATAATTTTTTGTTGTAAGTGATTATATTGAACAAAATACTGATTTAACAAAAGCTGTTCTTAAATTATATTTTACATATATATATGTATATATTTTGAGGATGACATTATTAATAATGGCAGTAAAAATCATTGAGGATATTTTTTTATTGCTACATGAACTTAAAGTTGCTTTTATATTCAATTTTATGCGACAATTGTGAATGAATATTTATAGAATTTAAATGAAACCATTCAGATTAACTTTTATTTTTATTATATATTTTTTTTTTGAGTTCTTTATGAATTAATTTAATTTCATTTTCACGCTTTCTGAATTGTATTTACTAATCCAACATAAATTTGAGATCATTTCTGTGATTTTTTTTTGGTTATAGAAATGTAGCAATATTATAAAATTTAATTTTAAATTCAAGAATTTGTAATTGATGTCTCATTTCTTTTTTAATAGAATTTACAACATTTTACATTCTTGTTATCACAAATATTGTTGGACATGACTCAGAATTTTTTGCATTCTTTTAGAAAAGTTTTTCTGATATATTTGTACTTACATTTTTTATATGTAGGTATAAGTTTAAAAGATGACAGGATGATACTATGTAATAAATTATTACACAGTATTAATAATTCACATGAATTAGATTGAATTATGTACATGTATTTATTAATATTTGATCAATTATTTAATTAAAGTAATTTAGTACTCAAAATTTAATGGGTTGTAATAAATTAATTTATTTTACAACTTGTAAAATAAAGAAAGTAGTTAAAAGATAGGAAATTTATAATAAAAGAAAATGTCAAAATTTTATTAACAACATTATTATTTTCAAATTTTACAATAAATATAAAATACGAAGAATATTTTTTTCTTTAAGAATAATTTAGATATATAATATAAAATAATTAATTTTCATTATTATATATAATAAATTCTATGCAATTTATCCAAAACTTTTGCAATTTATGCAGTAATATCTGTGTTTTTATAATCTATCTAGTCATCTTAAATACGAGATTCAGTTGAACTTCCAATGTACATTTTCGTTAATAAGAAGAAATCGTTAAATTTCGTTGTATAAAATAATTTTTTTCAATAATTTATTTGTATAATCAATAGGAATATAAATAATAAATGAAAAATAAAATTGGAAAAGGCTGGACTAAACTTTAAAGGTTCTTTTTTACACAAAAAACGCTGGTATCCCAATTTTTGTGTTATTTGTTTATTTTGAGATATAGTAAAAGAACCCAATTGATCAGTATTTATATTTGGAATCATAATTTGATTGCGATAAATACGCGTTACTACGTTTGAAAATCTCTAGTCCAGATTAATTTTTAATTTTTGTTTTTAATTTTTCACAAAAAATTTTATATTATTCCTCTATTCGCTACCAAATGGATAGAAAAATTTCAAAAATTTTTTAATGATTCATGATATAATTTACAAAAGATATTAACAATTATAATTACAGGAAATGATTAACTGATCAGTAAAAAATAAAATGAAAATATGTAAAAACGGTAATAGAGAACGTGTTATTAAATGGTAAAAAACCAACTCGTACATTTTAAAAAAGTAAACAAAAGGGCTAAGAAATTGTTATAGTTGTTTTTTCTTCCTACTCATTCATTGTTAAAATATTCATTAATAAGTAGCTAAGTTGCAGGTCAGTAGCGTATAACAATAACAATGGTGTATAATTATATTAGGTATTAATAAATACATATTTACATGTAGATAATAAAAAATAGGTAAAAAATGGTTAAAATTGTACCTAGTTTATAATTTTAGCTCATTGTCTATGCAGTTGATTTCCTTTTTATTTTATTATATAAGTTATTATACATAGTTGTACAAAATAATTTACATTTATATGTAAATTGGAAACTAAACTTTATTAGCTACTTTTATCTAGTATAAAATATAGTAGTTGATAGAATAAACCAAATCATTATACCGAAAATCGAATAGTTGTTTGAGATCGTCTTATATATATGCCTGTGGCAAAGAGTTAAGACTCAGAAAAGGTTAAAAGTCGGATTTTTTTGAAAAAAAAATTGTTTTTGTAAGATTTTGGTTAATATTGTGTTAATATTTATTTAAAATAAAACAGAATTCCGAAGTCATAGCATATTTGCCCCCAAAAAAATAACAGTTTTGCCAAATTTTTGAGAACCGAAAAAAATTGTAATTATTTTAGTAACGTTGCCTAATTGCTGATACACACATTCTAATTTTCATTTCTTATATTTTTTTTATCGTACCTGTGTTTCTCTGCCAATTGTAAATGCAACAGCATCCGAATTGCATTAAAACAATCAGTAATGCATGTATCTTTGAATTTTATTGTAGTTCAAAGTACACTTTCCTTTATACATAAATCAAAATTTTTTTCTTAATACGATTTATCGCTACTTAATCTACAGTTATTAAAAATATTCTTGAAAGTAAATTATATTAAATTTTTTTGTTTATAAAATCAAAAACGATAAAGGCGTCAGTCAAAGCATTATTTCTTATATATGAGATTCTAATCAGCTTTTCTATACTTACAGTACAGTCTATTAATATTTCATGGTTGCTACCGTTACTATGCACGTTTTATCATCGATCTCTCTTGTATATTTGATTTATATTTTTCTTTTTTATGAATATCAAATCAAATTTTTAAACTTTTTCAAATCTCATTTAATAAACTGAAAGCAAAGAAATCAATTAAACTTCAAATTCGATTGAAACGCTGACATGAGCACAATTCATTTAAAAAACAACAGCAATCTTGAAATACTATGCAATTAAACACACAATATATGCTTACATATGCAACTATATATGTGATATTTAAGTATAATTTTATGCATTCAGGATATTAAAATGCAGCGTTGTTAAAAAAAAAACAATGAGCAGTAGATTGATAAAAAACAAACAGAAATAATTTCTATCCAGAACATTGTACATGATGCTATGATGTAGATAAAATCAGTTAGTAGGATGTAGGATGCAATCATGTTTAATTAACAGTACAGTAGCGCTTGCAAGTAAAAACAAACTAACATTAAGCCTTTTTTCCCCCACATGTTTAATAGAAATGCGTGGTTTTTTATTTGATTTTTTAACTTTTCCCCTTTCTCAACTGATTTATACTTGATTTTTTTTTTTTAGATATTATTTAAGATAATGTGAGATATTGTTGTTTGATTGATTCTACAGTGTTATTGGGTTTGGAAAAAAAAAATGTATGATTATGAATTATTTAGCTTGAATATTAGTGTTGGATCGTAATAAATAAAAAAAATATAGAATTTTGAATCTCTTTTTTTTTGGGTGTTGTCTGAAAATGAAAAATTGGAGATCAGGAACTTTA